CCCCGCAGTTTGATCAGGAACAGGAATGTGGCAGGTGTTTTATCATCTCTTTTAGAGCCACGGGAATCTGGCAAGAAGCAAGTTCTTTAATTATATCCGATACCATAGGTCAGAGATTTTAAAAGGAAAAAAGATCTTGGAAGCAAACGCGCTGGTATTTTATTCCATGATTTCCAGATGGTGGAGGGCAGAGCTGAGGATCTAGAGGAAGTGTGGGTTTCTCCAGACTGTGGAGTGACTGGGCCTTTTTCCTCTCTCCTGGCCCGCAGGTTAACCTCAGAGCCACAGACGTGAGGCTCATGCGCCAGCTGCTGCTGATCAATGAGAGCATCGATTCCATCAAGTGGATGATGGAGGAGAAGGCCACCATCACCAGCCGGGGCAGCAGCCTGAGCGGCAGCCTGTGCAGCCTGCTGGAAAGCCAGAGCACCTCCTTACGCGGCAGCTACAACAGCCTGCACGATGGCAGCGACGGGCTGGACGGCATCTCCGTGGGCAGCTACCTGGACACTTTGGCCGATGATGTCCCCGGCCATCAGACCCCATCAGACTTGGACCAGTTCAGTGACAGCTCCATCCTGGAGGACTCACAGGCCCTGCGCAAGCCCCCCAAATTGGACTCGGAGTACTACTGCTTTGGCTAATGACCCAGTTTTTTGCATGGGACTGGTGTGCAATTAACTTGTATTTATCCTTCTTCTCTGCTGCTATTATTTTTGGTGTGATTTTTATAAATATATATAAAGCAACCTTTTAAAAAAAGAAGCTTATTTTTAAACTGCTTAATGATGTTTCTGTTGATCCTAATAGTTCTCATCTGGACTGATTTCCTTTTTCTCTCTCGCGTCTGTATTTTTATTTATTACAGTAATTTTTCTCCCTCTTTTTACAGTGGCACAAGCGAAGTAGGGGGAAAGAACAAGCAATAATTCTGTGTTTGTTTCTGTTTTCAGAGCAAGGGGTCAGGGATTACATGAAAACCTTTGATAAATTTTACAATAAACCAAAGTCTTATACCAGTTAATTTCGTAGTCTTTTGTGGTGGTGTTTTGTTGTTTTTTGGGTTTGTGGGTTTTTTTGTTTTTGTTTTTGTTTTTGTTTTTTATGTATCACGTGTATTTTATTTCATGTAATCTGTCGCATGAGGCACAAGACCTACAGGACTCTGTACACGTAAAGTTTTCAGACAATGAAAGGATGCAAAATTCCTCATTTATCACACAAAACATGTCCGCTCTGCAACAACGGCTGTTTCTAAATTTGTCTTCCAAGAAAGCAACAAAGGCCGTGTACTAGAACGTTACACTGCTTTACAGAATATTCTTGCATCCCTGTGGGAGGGAACGGAACCGTTTCTTAAAGAAAAAAAAATTAAATATTGAGAAAATGATGATTTGAATGCGTTCTGCTTTCCATACTCCTTCAGAATGGTTTTCTTTTTCTTTTTTTTTTTTTAATTTAGGTTGTTTATTTTTCATTTCAATGAACAACTACAGAGATTTTGGGATTCCATTCATTCATTGTTGCACCCTTCTCCCCGCACAAACCCCTCCCCCCCCCCCCCCAATTGCTCCTCTCCTTGAAAAGCAAAAGAAAAACTCCCTCATTGGTACACAATCCCCACCCCCCACCCCCGCGTGTGTTTTTTTTTAAGAACAGAAGATCATATTGTCTCCTGTGAGGAAAACTGACTTTTGAACTAGGGAACTGGCAAGATTTTACTAAGGACTCCTTACACCTTCCTATAAACCAAACCAATTGTCTTCAAGTCCTGTTGTGTCAGAGTAGAGCTGTGTGGCAGAAGGTTTCCAATGGTTGTAGCTGTTGCTCTTAAATAATTCAAATCATCATCGTGCAGATGATATTGACATTTATTACTACATGTTAGTCTGAGCAAAGTGCTTGGAATAAGGTAAGCCATCATTTCCAGAACACAAATTCTTTTTTGTCTAATTGAGATCACTGTTAGCCATGCATTTCTATGCAGAATTAATCTGGAAGTTCCTATATACATGCAATCTGTTCAAACCAACCTTGAGACCACATGCTAGATTGTCATTTACCAACCGTGATACCAACTCACACAGTAGAGTCAGTGTATGATAATATATACAATATAATACACGTGCTTCTACCAAATTTCAAAGAAAAACTGAGACAAAACATTCGAAGGTGGTTACAAGTGAAGGTGTTCTAAATTTAATTGAATTTTGAGATTTTGTTACTAATTATTTCTATGCATTTTCCTGATGTTGTTGTTGTTGATGATGGCCTTCAAGTAGAGCACAACTCATAGGGTCATAGCAACCCTATGAACAGAAGTCCTGAAGCCCCTCGACAACTACTGACATTTATCAAGATTCATAGAGTTTCTGGAGGCATAGGCTGCATATACACCCATATGTCAGAATGTGAATAGTTAGTTGTATACATAGATGCTGTTGTTGTTGTTATGTGCCGTCGAGTCGTTTGCGACTCATAGCGACCCTATGTACAACAGCCCTAAACCCTGCTCTATCCTGTGCCAACCGCACTGCCTCTGACACACCCATCCCGATTAGCCCAGTCACTGAATCAATCCATCTCATAGAGGGTCTTCCCCTCCTGCGCCGTCCCTCCACCCTCCCAAGCATGATGTATAGATAGCTTTATAAATAGTAGGGCAGCAAGTTAGTATTTATAAAGTTCAATATGGTATTTTTCCCCTTGGAGTGAATAAAGAATCTCCATGCTGAAATAGCACTTAAGAATAATATAATTCACGTAGTACAAAAACATTAGTTTTACTATGTTAATCTTCAATATTTACGTGTCTTTGATGATTACTCATGAGAAAATCTTTTTAAGCTTTCAAACAGTTCTTTGCACTGATAATATGTTTCTTCAGTAAATATGTAAAACATGAATCAAAAAGTATTTCTATTTATACCTGAAAAAGACTAAAAAACGTTTCAAAATTTCCTTTGTTGTTACATGTTGTTATTGTTGTTGGTACTTGCCACGGAGTCACCTGAGACTCATAATGACCCTATGTACAATAGCTCTGAAGCCTGGCCTGTCCTGAGCCAGTCTCACTGAGTCCAACACACCTACCCCCATTTCCACAGTTACTATTTCAGTCCATCTCTTCCAGGGTCTTCCTCTCCTGCACTGTCCCTCCCTCCACTATTGCAAGCATGATGTCCTTTTTCAAGGATATGTCCCTCTTGGCCACATGCCCAAAGTATGTGAGATGGAGCTTCAAAATCCTAGCCTCCAAAGAGAAACTTGGTTTCATCATCTCCAAGACAGATCTATTTATTTTCTTGGCGGTCCATGGTATGTTGAAGACTCTTCTCCAGCATCACAACTCAAAGGCATCACTTTTTCTGTCATCCTTAGTCGCCATCCAGCTCTCTGATGCATAGCAAGTAATCGTAAGACCATGGCTTGAATCAGGCATGTCTTGTTCTTATTACATACTGGTACCAAATTTGTCAGGATTTTTTCTTTGTTCCCAGGGTATATATCATTTAAATTCCAGTTAAAATTTACCAGAACCTATATTGGGAGATTTGGTGCATAATCCATACAGAGTTGAGCCGCTAATCGAAAGACAATACTTATCCAGTATTTCCACTCCACCAGTGGTTCCATGGGAGAAAGATGGGCCGTGTCCTCTCATGTGGTTGCAGCCTCCATCGGGTCGGCTATGAGTCAGTTCCCCCACAAATACAAGGAGAGATGAGAGGTGACATTTTGCACTATAATCCGGAGTGATACAAACATCCACCCAAAAGTAGTGGTGGTTGTGTTAAGTGCTGTAAAGTTGAATAGGACTCATAGCGACCCTATGAACAAAAGCTCTGAACCCTGTGCTATCCTGTGCCATCCTCACACCACTTCCTGTGCCATCCTCACACCACTTCCTGACACACAAGAGCCCATTGTGACAGTCACTGTGTCAGTCCATCAGGTTAAGGGTCTTGCCTTCTTCTCCAACCTTCCACCCTTCCCAGTATCATGTCCTATAAGGAATAGCCTCTCCTAAAAACATGCCCAAAGTATGTGAGACCAAGTGTCATATTCTCACCTCCAGTGAGCACTCTGGCTGCACCCTCTCCAAGACATATCTGTGTGTTCTCTTGACCGTCCATGGGAGGTTCAGTGCTCTTCTCCAACACCACAGCTCAAAGGTTCCTAAGTACCACCCAAAGGTACTTCTGAAGAAAGGTTTGGCTATTGACTTTTAAACAATCAGTTGCTAAAAACAAATACTTAAGACCATAGTTCCACCATTGCACACCTGGGTTTTCCATAAAGCATGAACTGATGGTGTATTTGTACTAATTATTTTCTATAAATGGCTTGAGTAATTCTCATCCCTATAGTCTTATATTGCCAATTAATTGATGGTTAAAGAAACAAAGGTTCAAATGTCCAATTCACCAGTGTCAAGCATGGACACGGAACATTGATATGCCTGTCTGATTCCTGCTAACAGTACCCAACAGTTCCTTTGATGCTCACTGGTACCATGACAGTAAAAACACAAATTTCAGCTAATGACAAAAAGAAAAATCACACCATATGTGGGACCAGTGTCGTTCAGTATTGAGTTTGCTGATTCCTTTTTTTGCAATCTCATGCCCAGAGTCAGTTAGATGCCCACAGATTAATCTAGAGTTTGGCTGCATACCGTTCCAAATATGTTTTCCGTTTGGGGCTTATGTTAAAGTCACCTTGGTTAAGATTGGTTGCTTATTTTCTTTGGTTTGGCACTGACTGTTTAACAGAATGTAACCCAAGGACATACATTGTTATGTAGTACTTTTTAAAAAATCCTTAGACCAGAGACTGATGGATTTCAGACAGTAATTAAATATGTAAGCAAATGTCTACAATGTAAGAAGAGCATTCCCCAAAAAAGGGTCACAGGGAGCCAGCAAGAATACAGGAAGCATCAAAAGAAAACTCTAAATCCTCTAAAACTCAGTAAGTCATGCACAAGAAAGATGCTTTCTTTTCACAGTTCGTGGTTTCGGATTGTGAATGAAATCTGGTAAATTTATTTAAACATTCCTTTTTCTACCAACGTTCATTACCATTGGCCAATTATTACATAAGGTGATCATAAAGACCATAAAGACAACAGATGGAAAATCTTTCTTGATTCTGGGCCATTTTCACAACCTCTCCTGTGCTTAAAGCCCATTGTTTTAGTCACTGTGTCAATCCATCTTATTGAAGATCTTCTCTGATGTCCCACCTTTTCAAGCATGACCTCTGTTTCCAGGCACTGACTCCTCCTCACCCAAAGTATGTGATAAGAAGTCTCGCAATTCTTTTGTCTAAAGAGCGCTCAACCTTAACACTTCTTTCAAGATGAATTTGTTTTTCCTTTTGGCAGTCAGTGTTATATTCAATACTCTTTGTCAACACCACAATTTATAGGCATCAGGTCTTCTTCAATTTTCCTTATTTGATGTCAACGTTCACATGAATATGATGCAAACGATAATATTATGGCTTGAGTCAGACACTCCTTAGTCTTTATATTGATATCCTCACTCTTTGGATTTTTAAAGAGGTCCTTGGCAGCAGATTTGCCAATGCAATTTTGTTGAATTTCTTGACTCCTGTTTCCAAATGATGTAGGCTATAGAAGCAAATAAAATGAAATTATTGACAACTCCAACTTTTCGTCATTTATCATCACACATGCCCTCGAGAGCTTCCACTCTAAAGTTATGTGTAGTAAGGAAATAAATTACCATAAGAGCATAGAATGGAAGAAGTGTGTAGTGTAGTTTTCATGTATACCTCACATTTTGAAGAATCTTTAATAAAAGGAAATATAGGACATGTGCCTTAGATACGTAGATTCACATGTAAACCAACTCTTTTTTAATAGTTGGTTTTACTAAGAGGAGGGGAAAATATAGTTAAACAACATTAATTACTAGCATATTCATTGGTCTCAAGAGTAAGGACTCTTATAAACTGCCTTGATTTCAGTTAAAAAGCCCTGTTAACT